TTATGAAGTGGGATTAATACTTCACGTGATCCTGATTCTATCCTTCTGTTTATGCAGAATAGAACTGTATTGGCTTTTTTGGAAGTGGCAGCACACCACTGGCTCATATTTAAACAATTGCCCATCCAAGATCTCTCTCCTAGTTATTACTATTGGGCGAGATACCACCTATTGTTTCTTTCCCTGCCTTCCGTTGCTTTGGTAAATAGGTTGACTCCCTCTTTGTGGAAGCCCCTCAAATATTGGAACGCTGCTATCATGTCACCCTTGGTTCTTCTCTTCGTTAGACTAAATATACCTAGTTCCCTCAATCATTCATCATACGTTTTAAACTCCAGCCCCTTACTCATCTTTGTTGCTCTTCTCTGTGTTTTTTCCAAAGTATCAACATCTATTTTTATATTGTGGCAATCCAAATTAGATGCAATAGTCTAATCACGGGATGGAGAACCTATGGCACACGTGCCAGAGGCGGCATGCACAGCCCTCTCTGTGGGCATGCGCACCGTCACCAGGTGCTCATCTGGTCTCCAGCGCACACATGCACACTGGCCCACTGATCTTTGCAGGTGCAGGAGCACCAGAAAATGGTCTGAAAGACACACAAAAAATAGGCCAGCCGGAAAAACAGCCCCAAATGCCCAAAAAGCAGGCATGCATGCGCCAGCCAGCTGGGCTTTGGGTTTCTGGTGCTCTGGCGTGTGCGCATGCAATAGCAATAGCAATAGCAGTTAGACTTATATACCGCTTCATAGGNAGCTTTCTTGCCACAGTTGTTAAGTGAATCACCGCAGTTGATAAGTTAGTAGCCTGGTTGTTAAATGAATCTGGGTTGCCCATTGACTTTGCTTGCCAAAAGGGCGCAAAAGGGGAATCACATGACCCCAGGACACAGCAATGGTTGTAAGTAGTTTCCAAGCCTCTGAATTTTAATTACATGTTCATGGGGATCCTGGAAAGGTTGTAACTGTGAAAACAGTCATAAGTCACTTTTTAAAGTTGCGTTGTAATTTTGAAGAGTCACTAAATGAACTGTTGTAAGTCGAGGACTACCTGTAGTGCAACGTTTCTCCAACCAGCATGAGGATGACAGGAAGCACAATTTAAGCACACTCAGAAGGTAGCAGTTTGTAAAGACCGATCAAGAGAATCACTCACTCTGTAGTTTTCCCACATGAAGTCCAAGTTTACAATCCGGAATATCTGCATGTATCCTGTGAATTGCCTCTAGTGGCGAAACTAACCATATCTTAAAAGTGTATGAAGCTGAACACTAGGATTATTCCACCAAAAGTTCCAAGGGAATTTACTTCACAAAATGCAAAGACTCAACACATAAATAAGACCTCACTATACAGTAGAGAAAGAATGTCTCCATGGTTATCAAATGACTGGAGAGTTTACTTAAGGAGAGGCTCTGAAGCAAAATTAACTGGGATGTTTATATTGATTCTGGAAACTTCAGTTTCATTCGCACATTGTATTGCTTTGCCCATGTGGCTGTTTTATCCAAACCAAACAAATAGCTGTTATGTTTTTCTTTTCCTAGCAGAACACTGTAATATCCAAGGGAGGTTTTTAAACGGTTATTGATTTTCATGTGTGGGTTGATATATAAATACAAGGAGGAGACTAAAGGTATGATTCATCACCAATGACAAACACAAGAGCCACTAAGTGGTTTACATTGTGTGAAAGGGAGAACACCTGGGGAAGAACACAGAAACTTTCTTTGAAACCTACTATGTATGTATGTATTTGACAAACTCCCTATCACATTTTGGACCCAGGATACCACTGTTAAGTGTTCTGTTAAAAGGATGGACAGGATAATGGACTTTTCAACAACAAATATTTTGTACTTGAATTGCTGATACATTTTGTCTGAGGTGCTTTTGTGTATGCACAGAACTGAGCTATTAAAAGAGAATGAATCGTTCTCTCTGGGATATTATACCTTGGTGCGTAATGTAGAGATTAGGGAACTATCAGGGGAAAAAAGTAAAGTCTTCCTTGTTACTTCCATATAACTTTTCTTTTACCAACAATATGAAAGAAGCCAATAGCTGTTCTTCTTCCAAGATGTTTCTTCTTCTTCTTAGTCTAGCTTACAACTATTGGATTTCCTAGCTGTCTCCCAAGTACTAATCAGGCCCAACACTTACAGGCTTAACTAAGTCAGCTACATGATGGAGAGATTAAAGAATTCNGTTCTAATTTTGACAATCTTGATTGTCTCCATAATGGAATTATTTAAAACCACAACGGAAAATGTTTTCTTGTCAGGTAAATCAAAACAACAGGAGGTAAATTAGAATGATGGGATACTCTTAGCAAAAAAGCAAAATGAATTCAGAACTATGAAAACAATAATAACAAAATACATTTTGGAATATTGACTAGGAAATCTTTACTGTTCAAAATATTCACATATTTATGGGAATTCCACACACTACATACCCTATTACAGCTCTCAAGTTACTATGGAGCAAACTATTTCCATAAGATAATAGTCCCATTGTAAGAGATCTGATGGTAAGTGTTAGATATACAAAATTATTTGAAATTAGCATTTTTTGATGTCTGTGGGATGTGATAACTGGATATCCCCTCCAAATATTATTGTTTATCCTCTGACCAATTTTTTTTAAGAATATGGGGAATATAATCCTAGACTCATTTCTGCATTTACACTGAAGATTTTCAGCTGTTGAAAAGAAAGGGAGCATGGAGAGTTGGATTTAAGAAGTTTTGTTTTGCAACGTAACACCTAAAGCAGCATAATTATTGATAATGCATAGCTTTCAAAGTATATTTCCTGATGGAAGTTTACAAACTAAAGTTAGCACGATTAAAATGTCAATTTTTAAAAGAAAATATTTTCCGAGTGTGGTTCCTAAACCCACCCACACCAGCCCCTTCAGTTTTTATTCATCCAAAATGTTTAAATATGAAGGACAACTCTATTATCCCTAATCAACATGATCTAAATTATAATTCAACACATATGGAAGACAACATGCTGGGGAAGATGGCATTCCTTGGAAAAATGATTGTGGAAGCATGTATCAGTGGAACAAATGGGTAAGTGACCTTCCATGGGGTCCAAATACATATGTTAGAATCAAGCCATGAGGGCTGTGCAATTGATGCTTGCATATTATTGCACAATGAATGTAATTTGCTTCTTTTGCACAGTAACATTAAAATGCATGTGCTGTCCCTTCCCAGCCAGATGCCCAGCAGTCCAATGGCAACTCCCTTCACTCTTACTTATCAAAGCCATAGTGAGAATGATGGGAGTTGTAGTTTAGCTACCACAGAGCTAAACTACCACTACAAATTGTCCTCCATGGGCTTGCACTTTGAAATTAATTTATTAGTCCGAAGTATTACATCTCCGATCTCTCAATATGTATTGACACAATTATGTGATAGGCTACCTTTATTATTTTTTCAGAATATCTCAAGTTCCAAGTTACTTGTCAACACTCCTTCACTAAAAAAAATGTGTCCAGGTAGCTAAACAACTATATCTAAGACATCTACAAATCAAGGAAACACGTGCATTTTATAAATTATAGACAAGCATGAACACTAGAACTTCAGCAATTGNAAGTGTTGCTTGCATTGTGGAAAATTCCTTGCGTAGACACTTATGAAAGGGAAAGGTGCAAAAAAGGGCACAAGCTTGTTTGACATGTTTGTGGGGTAATAAATATTTATACCAGTTTTAGAATAAATGCTTAAATACATTTCACTGTATTATGGAAGGGTGTGACCAGCTAAACTATTTAGTTTTGGATGTCTATTATGGGTTACCCCTTCAAACTAAAACTCTAAGGGGGACTTAGGGGCCCTTCAGACATTCTATTAACTTCAAATGCAGAATTTCTTCTCGAAACAGATCTAGGCTTAGAAAAGATTTTTCCTGATAACTGTAACTGTGGGGGAGGTTTTTATTTCCAAAAGTATGTTTATATTATTTTCATTTATATGCTGTAGAAATGCATGGCAAGGTGTACCACATTACATATGGTTAACATAATTTAAAATGTAATAAGAAATTATGTGGCAAAATATCATAATAGATAAGAGCATAAACCAATCTTAACATTCCATATGCCAATTTGCATTAAATTATTGCATTGAAAGGGTAATTCTGTCTATTAACAGGTCACTGTAGGAGAAACCAGAGAATAAGGGAAAGTGGAATGGCAAAGGTAAACAAAATAAAGAATACTTGGAGATTACAGGGTGATAAAAGTTTGGAGTTTGGAGTTAATCCAAACTCCTGAAGATACCAGATTACAGGAGGATTGTGTAATTTTTAAGGAGGAATCCCAGGAAATGCTTCAAATGAGGTTATTGAGAGGTGAGCCAAAATAGTCAGCAGAACAGAGAAAATCCATACAACCAGTATGTTCTGTAATGACTAATTATGTAGGTTTTACCAAATGATTACTGACAAATTAAGGGAAGCCACAGAGTTTATGTTAATACACAGGGCAACTTCGGATAAAAAGTATTTAGGGGTTTTAGAAGAAGAAGAATTTTATCATGTTCTGGGTCTGAAACCTGGGCCAGGAGGAAATGTTTTGAGAAGCTTCACTCTTCATTGGACAAATGATTTAAGNGGCCAAGTGTGTCTCCCAAGGGTATTTAGAAAGGGGTGCAAAAAGTCAAGATAAGTAGGTTTGAAACTGTACCCCTTTTTAAACTTCTCCTGTGTGGCTGTGATTATCATCCTGACATTTTCTACCTTCACTGCAAACATCCTAGGTACATCACCACTACTGTGAGTAGATCACAAGTGAGTGACACAATTGTTTGAGTTTTAAGAATCAATTCCACGTGGCCACCAGAGTATGTCAGAACAAGTTAGTCTCCTTGTAATCTCTGCAAACGATCAAGCAAAATACTAGGGGAAGGTTAAACTCTATCTACTTTTCATTTCCCCAATGTGGAAATTGCTCAGGAAAAGATTGTACCGGACATACCTGTTTTTCATAGGCAAGAAGATGCTTGGAAAGCTGTTGTGTTGCCAGGCACATTTCATTCTACAAAGAGAGAATGTGTCTCACTATTGACTCTCACAACCACTTAAAGATTTACAATGAAAGGACTGCACAACTGCTTCCAAAGGAGGACTGCATTTGTCTTTTAAATGACATGCTCTATTGCAAAAAGTAGCAGATTAGACCAAGATGTTGCTCAGGCAATGTCTTTTATTGCATACTATTAAAGAAGAGAATTTACATTAAAGCCAACTATTAAAGAAGATGCTATCCAGTTATGTAGAGTCAGGACTGGGTAATATTTGAAGGCAGGGTCATGTCTGCCTTCAGCTTCTGAAGCTCGGTGGGAGACTTTGGTCACTCTCTCTTAGCCCAATGTGACTTATTGGTGTGGTGAAAAAAATGGGAGGAGGTAACACTGCAACCACCTTGGGTCCTTACCAAAAAGCAGATTATAATGGTGACAAAGAAACACATCTCAGTGAGCATCTAGGCCAGGGATCTGTAACCTTAAAACACTCAAAGAGCCATTTGGACCTGTTTCCCACAGAAAAGAAAACACTGGGAACCACAAAACCTGGATGGGCGTGGCCAATCAATGTCACTCCCACCCAGTTAAATGACACCCCACCCCCTCAGCCATGCCTTTCCAGGTTTTATGGCTCCCGGTGTTTTCTGTGGGAAATGGGGGTCCCTCTCTCTCTCTCTCCCTCATGGAAATGAACTTACCTGTGCCCCATAAACTCTCTGCATTGCTTGAAGCAGTTGGTTGGTGTACTCTGTGAGTGTTCCTGCATCTTCTTCAAATACGCTCAGTAACGAGCGGGTCTGAAACATTTAAAAACAAACATATAAATAAAATCTTGAATAAAGGTACCATTCAGAAGTTCTCACATCTTTTTTTCTTATAATAGAATAGAATAACAGAGTTGGAAGGGACCNAGACGAGACACATTAACAGCAACTGCACGGAAGGGGTGTTTTCACAGTACAGTATCCGGGTGAGCTTTATTTTTATTGCGATTGTTAAGTACCCTGCTCTTTTTTATATGATCCATATGACCAGGATACGTAAATACTGAAGTTTGGACTGCCATCCTATGCTGCAACGCACGTCTCTGATAAAGCGCTTTGAATATTTTAGTGACAGCGCTTGGTCTGTTTAAATAATATTGTTATTCTCTTGGTGCCACAAAAGAGAAGAAAACAGAACAGAAGGAAGAAGGCGCGATAGTGTCATTTGAATAATGGTTAGGAAGACTGCAGTCTTTGCAGAACGTAATTTTCCTAGGCTTGTTTGTGAAAGAATAAATTCAGTCTCAGATTTGTTTTGATGCCACCGTAAAACTCTGTCCTATAAAGACAGCTCAGCTAAATCGCGTCTTCCCGGTCACTACCGTCAACCTTTCTCTCTTTCTACCCCGGCCCCGGCCCCGGCCCCATCCCTCGCCCGGACGGCAGGTAGTTTTTGCACGGCATCTGCTGCGCCATCCCTTCCCAAACCGCAGATCAGGTGCCTGCAAGCCTGGTCCGGGATCGGATACCTGCGGACTATCTTGCAGAGCGTCTTCTAGGCGAAGTTTGTCGACGGCGGGCATTGCCTGGCGCTGGAGAGAGAGAGAGGGAGAGAGAGAGGCGATGGGGAAATCGCGTAGGCTCGCTTCGCAGCGAAAGCGCTGGCCAGACGTTCTTGCTGACACGTCGGATCTGGACGCTTTGCCCAGGAGACCGAAGGGGCGAGCAAACAGCCTGCGGAATCTGGCGCCTTTCCTCCGGAGCCTCCTTTCCCCCCTTTTTCTTCCACGCTAAAATGAAGGGGAGAAGGGGGCCAGCGGCGCAGTCCGGGAACCCAGGGGTGTGTTAAACAGGTTGTACTCCCGCCTGTTGCATGCCCAGCCCCGGTCAGCAGGCAGGGCAAACGCCTCGCCTAGGACTCCTCCTCCTCCTAGTTGCTGTTTCTGGCAGGACGAGAAATGGAGAGCAGCAGGAAGTGTGGCATTGAGGATCTTCCTCATTAGCTCTTCTGTCTGCGTTCCGCCCTGGTTACTCACAGCCTCAAAGGCAAAGAGCCCAGGCGCAAAGTGCAAACAACAAGGGAGGGCTATGAGTAAAAGTTGCAGCGTGGAGGGTCCCTCAGCCAAGTTGTTAGGCAGCCAGGCCTCCCCCACCCCATCCCAGCATGCTGCAGTTCAAGTCACACTTTCGTTTCCTCTCCCCACTTGAGCATAATCAGTATTCATGGGGCTACTTCGAAGGAGAATTGCTTCCCGTTTAAATATCACCTGTAGTTTTATTTATTTATCTTATTTAGTTAGTTCGTTCGTTCGTTTGTCACTCGTACAAGATAACAGGAATAAGAGTAAACATGATAAGAGCACAGGAAATGGGGACATTAGGCCTTTTAAAGAGTTTAAAAACTTGCAGAGTTTGGAGATTTTCTTAGAATGCTGATTCTTTTGTTCCTTCCCGGCCCAGTGATGGTGTTGTTCCTCAGATGCGTTTGCTGTTTAGTGAACAGCATACACTATATTTGTGTTTCCTAAAAGTGTGAGCCCTTGAAAGCTTTCCTGGTGTATTATGAGAGTTTCCATTTTGTATTTATTGCTATTGTAAACTGCAGATGATCGTCATGCAGTCCACTGCATTTGATGATTATATTTACTGTACTGTTTTGTATGTTGTTTTTTTTAATGTTTTGTAAGCATAAGGCACGTATGTGTTTTCAATTGAACTATACACTAGAAAAAATATTTTTTGAATGGTTTAAAAAAATCAGCACAAGAATAAATAAAAGTACTACTGTAATCTTTAGCATCATCTTTACTTCCGAGAGTGACTTTTTTAGTCATTTTTTAAGAAAATTGATATTATGAAAAAAAAATCATTTGAGAAAAAAAATAAGGGAAAAAAAGGTATAGAGAATTCATTATGGACATCGACCAGCATAATACAGGAAATATTCTGGAAACTTTGATGAAATGGCTAGAGGAACCCTAAATGATTGATTTTTGTGACCAACAACATTCAGTCCTGCTGATGACATGATCATAAAATTGAAAAAATGCCAATCAACTCCAAACTCTTAGCTGTGCATTAATTAATCCACTGAATAGAACCGTCTATATTCTGTTAGCCTTGCCTTCTGGTGGGAAGAATCAAAGCAAAGAGCAGCAAGCAAGCTTGTTCTGAACTAAGCTCAAAATTTTTCAAACATTCCTTGAAATTCTGCCATGGCATTTTATACAAAGCAAGACAATCTATCTGCATTCAGAACTGCAACTGCAAGTCATTATATTAACCCAGCAAGTGGGCTTAGTCTAAAAGTAAACACAATACATTTGTTTTGTGCGTTCTGCTTCAGTTATTTGAAATAATACATTGGAAAAAATGATGCCTCCCGCCCCCACCCGCAATGTTTTTGACTGTTTTCAGAATCACAGAAAAGTCCCAAGAAAGATTCTAATTCATCTGTGATCACTTCCTATTTGCAATGGGAAAAAGCTTCTGTATGATCCTATTTACCTTCCTTGGCTTTTTCATCTCTGCATAAAGCAAGCATTTCCTCCTCTGATCCAGATTGGAACTACAGTTAAAACTCCCATTCCCCCAGTCTCAAATGTGAGACAAGGGTGATGTTGCATTGTAATTTGAAAAGCCACTGATGTAATTGTTAATTACACAGAGGTTTGTGTGTGCTTTTCTTCAAGTTATCATTTTCACCCAGTTCTTTTTAAAAACGAAATAAAATAAAAATTATTTTAAAATTATTTTAATTTACCATGAAAATGATTTCAAGAAAAGAAAATCATCAGTTAAAGATCACTTAAATATGAGCCAGCCGTGCGGTGGCAGCCAAAAACGAATACAAGTCTTGGTTGTATAAACAGAGGCATAGAATCAAAATCGCATCAAGTATTAATACCACCTTATAAAGCCTTATGGTAGTAAGGTTACACCTGGAATACTGCATCCAGTTTTGGTCACCACAAATACAAAAATTGTTGAGACGCTGGAAAAAGTGGTAAAGAAGACAGCTAAGATGATTAAAAATTTAGAGACTAAAACATGAATGGTTGCAGGATTTGGATTTGGCTAGTCTACAGAAAAGAAGGACTAGGGGATGGTCTGATAGTATTTCAGTATTGGAGAGGTTGCCTCAAAGAAGAGAGGGTCAACCTGTTTACCAAAGCACCTGTAGGCAGGACAGGAAACAATGGATGAAAACTAATCAAGGAGAGAAACAACCTTGAAACTAAGGAGAAACTTCCTAACAGTGAGGACAATTAACCAGTGGAACAACTTGCTGTCATATATTGTGCTTCATCCAGTGCAGTGGTGATATTCATCCAGTTCAGACCGGTTCAGGCGAACCAGTAGTGGTGAACTGTGGGTTGCCCACCTGCCCCAGTGCTATTCTGTCCTATTTAGCCCTGTTTTCTAAGCCACATGCATGCATACAAGCTGTGAAACTCACCTCTGATCCAGTGCTTTATCACTGGAGGTTTTAAAGAAGAGATTGGTATAGGATCTCCTGCTTGAGCAGATAGTTGAACTAGAAGATCTCCAAAGTCCCTTCCAGCTCTATTCTAATTGATTGACTGTTTGAAAAAAAGGGTAATCCTTGACTTACAACTATTTGTTTAATGACCATTTGAAGTTACAGTGGCATTGTAAAAATGACTTATGACCAGTTCTCACCCTTATGACTGTTGCAGCATCTGCATTGTCACGTGGTCAAATTGTGAGCATCTGGCAACTGGGCATATATTTATGATAGTTGCTCTGCCCAGGGTCACATGATACCACTTGTAACCTTCCTAGCTGGCTTCTAAAAAGCAACGACAATAGAGGAAGTTAGTTTTGCTTAACAACTGCATGATTCACTTAACAACTGCCTAGCTTAAATTTTGTGCTCAATTGTGGTTGCACGTTGAGGACCACCTACATATGTATTCTATTCTAAAGAATGTTTCTATTCTAGAGATTCATTGATTTTGCCCCTTGTTATCTTTGACATTTTGATGATTTATTATTTGTATTTATAAAATGGGAGAAAATATGATTCTCACCAGGAACCGCAGATGGTGCCCCCAGTTGTGTAGTGCAACTTGTAATGGTAACAGCTTAAATAACAGCTATGCCTCATCTGTTTTGTTAGGTAACTCCTTGTAGGGTGGCACCTCAAGCTGTGGGAAGCAGTTTGCCAACCAACTAGGTGTCAACCAGTCCCAGTAAGCATTCCAAATAGAACAGCTTAAAGAAGATATTTCAGCTTTGACCGCTTAGGGTGGCAAACAAGCTTGACATTTTACACATTTGAAATTGCACAATAACACTGTCATCCTTTCAGGAAGATAAGGACTGTACTGCTAAATAAAAATCAATGATTACCGATGATTTAGGATTTATTTTTCTAAGAGCCTGCTGTTATGGAGAACTGTGAAAAGAAACAAGATGCCATATAAAGCACTGGAAACAGGCTTTTGTGCTTCTCTCTCAGTACCTATTTTTTTAAAAAATAAGTGTATTAAAAGTTGTAATAACAACAGTAAATACTAAAAACTTTAGTTTTTTAAAAAAACTAAAAAAGAAAACAAAAAGTAGAATAAAAGGTGTAAGAAAAAGAAAGAAAAAATGGAAGCCTTCTAAGAAAGCAACCTCTCATCACAAATATAAAGAGTTCTACTATTTCTCATTTCCTCTTAATTAACATATAAAACATTTGATTCCAAATTTCAACGCTTAACTATAGCAAATCCATAAACAACATCTTGTCCAATGAAACAAAAAGTCCAGAGTCCCATTAATTAACCAATATAAAATCATTGTAAAGTCATAGGGCTGGAAGGGCTCTTGAAGGTCTTCTAGTTCAATCCCCTGCTCAAGGCAGGAACCGTATGCCAGTCACATGGTTGTCTAGTCTATTTTTAAAAATCTGCAGTGACGGGGTACCCCACAAACTCAGGAAACAAACTATCAGTTGCTCTCCCTGCAGAAAATTTCTCCTTACTTCTAGATTTCATCTCTCTTCAACAAGCTTCCACCGTTACTTCTTGTCCTGCCCTCTGGTGCCTTAGAGAGTAAGTCAACCCTCTCTTCTTTGTATCAGCCCCTCAAGTACTCAAAGACAGCTGTCATGTCCCCCCAATCCTTCTCTTTGATTGGCTAAATATACATCTAGTTCCCTCAACTGTTCATCATACGATTTAACCTCCAGATCTTTTATCATCTTTGTTGCTCTTCTTTGCATACTTTCCAGGATCTCAACATCTTTTTATATATGAGCAATTAACCTTTGTGATCAGAAGTCAATATTCCAAATGTGGTGTCACTAACACAGTGTAAAGCAATACTATCACTTCTTGTTATCTTAATGCTATCCCTATGTTGATGCAGTCTAGGATTGCATTGGCTTTTTTGGCACACTGCTGGCTCATACTTAAATGGTGGTCCACTAAGACACCTAAATCACTCTCACAGTATCTCAACTCTTAACTATAAGCCATATTTAGAAGGCATGATGAAGGGGTCTCAGTATTATAATGTGAAGAAAAGGCTAAACTTTAACATGACAAAGAGAGACAATGAAATGCTGAATTTTAAAAAGAATGAATGAATGTATCAGTGTGTATTAATCAGATTCAGTGGCTTGTTCAATAAGCTATGGTTAAATCATGGATTACAATTAATGATGAGTAAACTAGCCAATGTTAATTACTCAGACTGCTACTGTATCTGTTTGGCAGTAAATCCCATTAAACACAGAGTATGCATAGCTTGCAGAGTTTCACTATTTAGAAGTATATTTAAGAAATAATGTAAATACATACATACAGATAAAATATTATCTGTTCTGTGATTCTGTTTCTAACTGCAACTCCCTACTTTCTTCTGCATCACTCAACAACATCTGAAGCTGTCACTTTCTCCTGTTCTCACCTTTTCCCCCTTCCACTCATAATTATGCATAGTGGAGTTTGCACACATCTCAATGGCACC